AGGATCTCGGATTAGGTTTATTAAATTCAGTTTTTTAAAATTAGGTATGAAACGAGCGAAAGTATTGCGTCAAAATGGTATCTCTGGTAGAGGTAAATCATAGTCGATTTTTTCGAGTCTGTATTCAGAAAAATCGATTGTACACTTAAACGGATTCAGCTTTAATCAATTTTTTGAGGGATCAATTTTTTTTTTTTCCAAAAAATCCGCACCCTCAAGAACTGGTATAGACAACAGACCTATTGCTTCCCACTTAAAAAAACTGTTTAGCTACAAGCGAAATTCCATTTTTGAAGCGCCTACCGTTCACGTTTTGGCCTCTCCTCCAGCCACGCAGAGCTGTGTGACAGGTTGCAGGAATGTCAGGCGTTGGTAACTAAAAACCACCCAACTGCATCAGGAAGTCCAGGCGAACCGCGAGTATTTTTCACCAGTCGGAAGTTCCCCTTGCAGGCTCGCACCCGAATGTCAAATGAAAAATGATTAAATCTTGATACAAAAGCGGCGCGTCAACTCGCCAGCGGGGATGATACTATTAATTAAAAATCGTAGTCCACGAACAGGAACGTCACGAATACAGTCTCGAAAGATCGTGCCGAATCTCGACATTTTTTCATTCGTCGATGACTTTTCCCCAGCACATTCTGACAACGTTGACGGTGGTTTTTTCCGATAGGAGGAGCCGAAGAACTGAAATTTGTTTTTCATTCACGAGGAAGGTTGTAATTTCGAGTCGCGTTTTAAGTCGGTGACTTCCGAATGGGGGCTCGAAGTTATCATATCTACTCTCATTTCGATGATATTCTGAATTAATAAATATCTATGACAGCTCGGGGAAATTACTGACAACCTTGACATGCTGACGAGTGTGATTAAAGTCATTTTTCACCCTTATTCCATTCCATCCTTTGAATATTGCAAAAAAAAGTTTGGCATTGTTGTTTGATAAATGGCATCAATCTAGTAAGGTGGCTTTAGTGCGGAAACCCCCAAAGACTGGAGCAAATCAAGGAAAAGCACAAAAATGATCCCTAAGTAATAGAAAAAATTGAATTTTCAGAAATTGCTAAATAATTTCACGATTTGTGGCACAGAGATTTAGATCGTCTACCATCTAAATTTCTAAATCTTAAAGTTAGGTATTATAATCTAATTGATCGTCAGATTGCGATGGTGTAAGTCTCCGCTCGTGTTTTAGTTTTTTGAATGCAGACTAACTAACTGAGTTTTTATATTTTCGGCGAATTTCTACCCATTATTCCAAAAAAAAAACACGAAAAATTGAAAGGGAGTTGATGACTAGTTTTCCTTGAAGAAATTAAAACGTAATCGGAGAGTTTTAAATTCTATGAATTTCAAGGGGAATCCTCTGCTCTCAAGAGCGAAAAGCCCTGATAAAAATCCTGTGTTTATTCTAATTTTTTATTTTTCTTGCCTTTCTTGGGAAAAACTAGATTCACCAGGCTGAAAAAAAGAACACGAGAAGAAACGCTTGATGTCGTTCAGTTACTCGAGACAACGCAGAACAGAAAATTTAGAAATGATTGGGGAAACAGGGAAGTCTCAACTTTTAACTCTCATTCCCTTACAAAATCTCAGGTTTTCCCGGATATTTTTCGTTCCCCGATAAATCTCAGTAATTTCCAGTTTTCCTAGGTTTTAGACACCCACCATGTTGTCCAAAGCAAGAACGATGCAAATCCGTTTCACCTCTTTCTTTTTCCCCCCTTTTTGCGAGAAAATTCCATCACCAAAAAATCAACGAAGTTTCATTCTTCCTTTATTCAAAATGATTGTGGCTCAAAACTGAAATCCTTGACTGACAAAATGAATCACTAGTGGATAACCCTTCGTTAGAAANAAACCACCCGCTCATGAAAACCCAATGCTCTACGTGATTCACATCGCGCGCTAAATGTTTATCATGACAGTCTCTGCGATGTAAAAATCTTCAACTTCAATCTTGACACTTTGGCTCAGCTATAGCAAATTACCAATAGTTTGAACAACACATGGTGGGAAATGAACATTGCTCGATTGAGAAGCTTGCTGAAACCGTTGTAGTGCGCGATTTGACTCACGTAGAGCTTTGAGTTTCTTGTGAGCGGGCAGTTCAAATTCCTCGTAATCAGTGCGAAATAAAAACGTTAATATCTTCGTTAGAAGTTGAATTCGGTAATTTTCGTGGTGTGAATCGTGTTTTACGTGAAATTCTGGTTGAGAAACATGTATCAGATTGCTTAAATTCATACCTTGTCTAGTGGTCCATTTAGTAAGGTGGCTTTAGTGCGGAAACCCCCAAAGACTGGAGCAAATCAAGGAAAAGCACAAAAATGACCCTTAAGTAATAGAAAAAATTGAATTTTCAGAAATTGCTATATAATTTTACGATTAGTGGCACAGAGATTTAGATTGTCTACCATCTAAATTTCTAAATCTTAAAGTTAGGTATTATAATTCAATTGATCGTCAGATTGCGATGGTGTAAGTCTCCGCTCGTGTTTTAGTTTTTTGAGTGCAGACTAACTAACTGAGATTTTATATTTTCGGCGAATTTCTAACCATTATTCTAAAAAAAAACACAACAAATTGAAAGGGAGTTGATGACTAGTTTTCCTTGAAGAAATTAAAACGTAATCGGAGAGATTTAAATTCTATGAATTTCAAGGGGGATCCACTGCTCTCTAGAGTGAAAAGCCCTGATAAAAGTCCTGTGTTTATTCTTATTTTTTATTTTTCTTGCCTTTCTTGGGAAAAACTAGATTCACCAGGCTGAAGAAACGCTTGATGTCGTTCAGTTACTCGAGACAACGCAGAACAGAAAATTTAGAAATGATTGGGGAAACAGGGAAGTCTCAACTTTTAACTTTCATTCCCTTACAAAATCTCATGTTTTCCCGGATATTTTTCGTTCCCCGATGAATCTCAGTAATTCCCGGTTTTCCTAGGTTTTAGACACCCACCATGTTGTCCAAAGCAAGAACGATGCAAATCCATTTCACCTCTTTCTTTTTCCCCCCTTTCTGCGAGAAAATTCCATCACAAAAAAATCAACGAAGATTCATTCTTCCTTTATTCAAAATGATTGTGGCTCAAAACTGAAATCCTTGACTGACAAAATGAATCACCAGTGGATGACCCTTCGTTAGAAATCATGCTTTTATGATTTTTACAAGTGATTACTGATAATTTTTCAAAGGACGGAGCTAATTTATCCGATTAACTTCTCTACTGGAGGGCTGTCAGGTCCATTTTCTTTAAACTTAATTTTTGCACTTACTGTTCTCCGTATCAAGACGGGCACGTATCGTTGCCCCTCTGATGCAAGGGCCTATCTCAATTTCAATGTGAGCTCTATTTTACGTATAAGCTTTGCTTTCTGGAGCTCATGCGGAAATCGCGATACGCCAGAGGAGCGACGATATCACCCTCACAAATCTCATCCACCCCTGAGCCCACTGCCCAACTTCCAGAGCCTATAACATACGAGTCGACTCCGCAACAAAGATAAATTATCCCAAAGACGTTCGAATGGATGAGGGGGCGGGGGTAGGGGAGGAACTTGAAGATGAACTTGAGACGACGACGGAGGTAGACAAAAGGCGGGGTGAGTGCAAACGATTAAAGCGGGATCAAGAGCGAGCGGCGACCCGGGGGGAGGGGGATGAGCCGCGGGCGCCGCGATCGTTACGTTTGAACAGCGCGGTGTCACTTTCGTGCGCGGAGTGTTGCATACCCTCCGCGGCGCGACCTCTAACCCGGGTCGCCCGGGCCTCTAATCCCGGGCAATTACCCGACTAATTACACCTACAGGTTAACAAAATAACTTTATAGTTCCCGCGCTCTGCAATTAAGCGATCCCGCGCCTTCGCTGCGCTGCGGGTTGCATATCCTCCGAGCGGCGGGATGCGTTCGGAGTGAATGAAGGGGCAACATTATCGGGATCCGGGCGAATCCCCGAAATTAAGGCCCTTCCGCCGCCGTCGTCGTTTCCGCGTGTCCTTTTGTGGGGTTCGTTAGAAACCGCGTAAGCGCCATGGGAATTTCGGGTAGGTCGGTGGTTTTCGTCGAGGATGGCGGGCCTTCCGATTCGACCCGGAATGTGGATGGTACGGCTTTCGGTGATATTGGACGACATTAAAGCGGATGTTCCTTCGCGACCGCGTATAGGCTGAGGAGGTCTTATGATCGGGTACGTCGTTTTGAAAAAATGTGAATGAGATGTGGATGGCGTTATTCCTTAATGTAGTCTAGATGAAGTCACAAGCTCCCAAATGGCTGCAGTAGATCTGAGTCTCATTCTTAAGCGCGTTTTAGCTTCACTATTACTGTCTTACTAAGGAAAACCGCCGAATGACATTTGAGATATTGCTAAATTTCCCTGAATAGAACATTTAATTTGTGAGGAAATGCATACATATTTTTCTTTGGAATCTTCAGATATTTTAGACTAAATTGGAAATTAAATTGTCTGAAAAATTTGAAGAAAAAAGTTCAAAATTTTCTTGATAAATCCGTTTTTTATTGAAGAAAGTATGGCAACATCTGAAGGCCCATACGGCGATTTTCTTTAGCACGACAGTTATTAGTAGCTCAGTTTTCATAGTTTATCATGAAGACGTTCTTTGTTTTTAACTACGCAAATTCAACTACATTTTGTAATTAGAAACTAAGATATCGGGCACAGTTTAGAAATAACGTATGTTCCATAGGTTTCCCCATGCACATGAGTGTTTTCGCGGATTGGCCAGAAATTTTAGTTCCTTATTGTAAAAGTTGTCCTAATGAATCATTTGTAACGAATCAAGCCGAGAAGAACCAAATTCATGCTTTGGAGAAAAAATTGATGAAGGAGTGTTTTTATCGGTGAAGTGTTGTGGGTCTTCACATCATAGGCTCAACTAGGCATTCTGTAAGCTAATTTTCTCGATGGAGGCTCAACATTTTACAAGCTTCTTGATATTTCACCAGTTGAACGTTTTGTGTTCTTATTGTTCCAGGAGCAGAGTCACAAATCTTATCGTCCTCTGTGCGTGCTCACATTTCGATGGAACTACGCGATCCATCAACTGGAACCGATGGGATACCATCTAGTCAACATGCTCCTACACACCGTTGTCTGCTACCTTTACTTCAAGTAAGTCACATCTTTTGCCTCACATTTTCAAAACTGCCTACTAATTCTCGTGTAAAAAAAATGAATAACTCGAGTCAGGTTAGGAAATATGTACCTATTTGCAATTCCGAGTCGAATGCACTCTTGGAATGCGATTTTTAGCTATAGCCCCGAGATTTGTCGGAATATTTGTGTTGGCACTGACCTTTACGCAGTGCAACCCACTCCACATTGGTTTTTAACGTTTTGTCTTTACTTTGTACCAGATTTTGAGCATGTAATTAGCTTGGGTGGAAAATGCATTTTTTTTTAAAATCATAGTTCATTTAACTACAAGTATTTTTGATGAAATTAGCACAAAAATTGGAGCAATGTATTACACCAAAAAAAAAGTTATGAGGCCGTGAACACTGCAACTTACCTATCACGACAGTGATGGTCGTGACATTTTCAGCAGTGAAATACAAAAATGAAGCTTAACGCTTATGATGAGCTATCGACTTGCGTAATTTTGGCAGTCAGATTTCATTCAAAATACTTATTTTCCGTCTTTTTAGGTGAAATATAAGTTTATTTATCACATATTTTACAAATAAAAGGTTCATGACTAAAATCGAACACTTTTCGTAGAATTGCTCGCGTACATGTTGAAAATAATTATATCGTTACCTCCCGGCTGAAGTATCACAAGCCCCATGTGACGTTTAAAAATTTCCGTGACCATTTTATTTTTATTTTTCTTTCAGAGAAATTATTCAACAAAACTGTCCGAAAGCAATGAATTTTCTTAGCGCTGCCGATTAAATGTAGGGAAATTTTCAAACAAACTCAACCTACAATTTGTCTGTAAAAAAAAATAAAATAACGGCGACAATTTTTAAACGTCGCATGGCGCTTGTGATACTTTGACCAGAAGGTGAGGATATGCGTAACGACCAGTAACATGCCCAAATATTTTATTTCGTACGAAAAGGCGTCCAATTTTACGATGGCCGATTCGAAATTTCTCTCAGTTATCAACCAGCCCCACTCGAATTCGGCAATATCGAGGAAACGGATTAGCCCGGAAAAAAAATCCGGAAACGCAATCTCCCTCCGGAGCGCGAAATTTCGCCCATCCGTCTTCCGGGGGAGGGGCGCCCCCGCCACACTCGGGCGGATCGCTGAAGACGAACGAAAATATTTGCTCCGCGACTCGTAAAATGTTTGCTTTTCACACCAACCCCCTCCACCCCGCGCTACCCCCCACCCGAACGGGCAACCCGCGCGCGGGGGTGAAATCTTTATATATTTTAAATTCCGATTTGCAATTCAGATGCAGCGCCGCATTTCCGCCTCCCCCCTCCCCCGCCCGCCCGAAAAATAGCGCGGCCAAAGCGAGAACCATTTTAAAAACCGCGTAAGTCAATTCCAGCACGAGCCCCTTTCCCCGTTTAGTTGCGTACTTTTCGAGGTTCGGCAGTTGAGTGCTTTTGTCCGCTAGCGCGGAAATCTGTTTTCTTTCGGATCCGAGCCGCCAATTCGTCGCTCTTCTGGCGTAAAGGCGTATCTCGATTTAGGCATGATCCCCAGAAAGCGTGGTTTTAAGTGTGAAACAGGGTTCACGAGGAAATTGAGATACGCGGTTACGTCTTAGGGGCGAGGAATTCCGCGTGATCCGTGAAAAGGGCGTCCGGAGGGGTTGAAGGTCCATTTTCGCGCGGCTTAAAGGAGCCTTTCAGCTCCTACCGCCGCGGAGGAAGCTGTTTGAGGCTTCGGTACTCATACGAGACGGATTTCACGCTATTACCGTCCGTCTAACGCGTTGTGATGCGTCGGTTGGGTGTGTTAGTTTAACCCCCACCCCTTTCGCCAGCCCTCACGCCGCAACTGTAACATCCTCGAAATGATGTTTGTGTAAGAGTGGGTTGTATTTCTTCTCTAAGACCAATGGAGAATTTGCACATTGCTTCGTCTGAGAGTGCTTAATGAGCTGAGTTTGCAGTATTTTTCAAAAAAAAATTTCTATTTTTCAAAATAAAATTTCCGAATCGGTGTTTGACACCCACTGAGCTTACAGCACTGTCGCGTATTACGCAACCTTTCCTCCAAATTCGCCCCGAGACAGTTTTTCGTCTATCCTTTTCTCCCTCATTTCTTCTGTCTCTCTCTTAGTTTCTCATGACAAGCATTTTAAGGCCTTAAGCCAATGCTTGCATACAATCAAACACACCATCTCATTTATTAAATCTTCTTTATCGGTGCAATGGATGGCGGATGCAGTGCAGCCTAAAATATGCTCCTCTCTGGCCCTGCGTACCTCGATAACTCTGCGATGTACTTTACATCACGTTTACCACCTCAGGTATGATCATCTGTCAATTCTTAAGCTCTCGCAGGTCACTTTAACATATTTTTACCAAGTGCAGATTCTCCATCCATCGCAATCCGGCGATGTGAATAAAGTGTTCTTCTTGTTTATTCGACAATCCAAGTGTTATTCTTCGAAAAAAGTTCATCCCAGGACCCAAACTTATCTTTCGCTCTCCCACGAACTCAGCTATTTCTAGAGCGCGTATCGAAAATCATTCAGATGTTTCAGTCCGTCTGAAATCTCAACCGATCAACAGTGCGCGACAGGCACACAAGGAAATGGCCTCGCGGCTGTCGCTACTCGTCGATTGTCTGCTTTTGCTGAATCTACCAGGTAATGACTGCGAAAAAGCAAAAGGTCAAGATATCGAGGAGGAAAACACGTTTCTCGACCTTCACGCCACCAAATTTTACGTCGACAAGTCCTCCTTCATCAGAGACTTCGTCGTAATGGACACTAAAATCGTCCTGCTCACTCTCCCCCCCAAGTGGGGTAAAACCGTAGCCGTCGACATGCTCCGAGCCTTTCTCGAAATGAACGTCGACGAAAACGGAGAACAAGTCTATTGGTCGCCCGATATGCTCACCGATCCTAACCTCAAAATATCTCGCCATCAAGCTATGCCCAATATATTCGTCGATCCTAACCTCAAAATATCCCGCCATCGAACTTTAATCACCGCCCATTACAAACGGCATCCCGTTATCCACGTCTCTTTCCATGACGTGCAGGGCGACACCGTCGAGTCAATGCTCCCTTCACTGACAGAGGCAATTGCCCGCGCTTTCGACCATCACCGCTACATGCAGCCAGTCCTCTCCCGGGACGCAGTTGGCCCCGATTCCGTCTCAAGTTACAACGCGCGGTACTCACTGCACATTTTCGAGCAAATCCGAAACCGGACCGTAGACCGGGAAACGCTGAAAACCAGTTTGTACATGCTCGTGGAGATACTCAACCGTAAATTCGGGACGGTGTGGATACTGATCGACGCCTACGATCACCCGATAGACATCGGCCAAACGCAAGACCTCGCGGAAGCGGACGCCAAGATGGACTATCTCCGGGATCTCCTCCAAAAGACGTTCAAATTGCGCTGGCATTTCCACAAAGCGCTGCTCTCGGGGGTGATGCGAGTGGCGAAGCTATGCAACTTCGACGGGATCAGCAGGGTGGTGAAGACCGACATGCACCTCAACCACTTCCTCGACGACTTCGGGCTCAAGGAAACAGAGGTGGACGCGCTGTTCGCAGCCCACAATCTGACCGGAAACCTGGTGCAAGAGGCGAAGGAGTGGTACAAGGGCTACGGGATAAGCGCCCACGTTAACAGGGTGGAGATCGAAGTCTATAACCCTTACTCCATCGCGCAGTTCATAAAAAACAAGAACGTCACCAACTACTGGGTGCAGACACAGAGTGTGGACATCCTGGGGAACCTCTTCAAGTCGAGTGAGATGGAGGCGGTGTTTTTGAGACTCCTGAGTGGGGAGAGCCCGAAAGTTGTTCTCGAGGATCAAGTTTTCTCCTCGGAGGAGCTACATTTGATTCACGGCGCCCTCACAGCCCCTAGTGAAAATGCAAAACGCGACCTCTACTTACGATACCTCTTCGTGGCGGGATATTTGACGCTCGACAGCGAGTTCGACGTCGAGCAAAAGGCGGCGCATTTGCGGATAGCGAACAAGGAGATCGAGGCGGAGGTGACCGATAAGCTTTTGAGTTTCTACCAGGTTAAGTACAGGATTGATGAGTGCGTGTTGAGGCGGGTCAGGGAGGAGTTCCGCCACGTGCAGAGCCGCCTCGACACGGGGAGGTTCAAGAGCGCCCTCGAGGAGCTCTTCTTCGCGTACTCCAAGTTCCCGGGGTCGACGGAGGCGGCGCTGAACGCGGCGGTGCTGACGCTCAAGTCGGCGCAACGCTACGCCGAAGCGTACTTCCGGAGGTGGACAGACGTGGGGGACAACGAGAGGGGCCCGCGGCCGAGCGTGGCGGCGGTCAACGTGGAGCTGAGATCCGGGGTTGCGCTGGAGATGCGGTTCAACCAGTCGGTGAAGGGTGAGCTCAGCTGGGCCGGAGAGAGCGCCAAGGCCTTGTGGCACAGACACGCTGTGAGGAAGGTCATGGTCCTGGGGGTACGAGTACTGCCGGATATGAAGGTAGTTATCGAGCCTGAAAGGTGGGAGTATTATGGCGGTCATTGAGAGGGTTCACTTAAGGTGATTCGATGGACGCCATATTTTGTGTCTGAACGACATGCGATATACCGCATCGATTGGTTCCATTTTTTCAGCTACTCGTCATTTTTCTCCGATTTTGAGATCGCAATTCTGTTTGTCAGGAGACTAAAGCACTCACCAATTTTAACAAAGAAATTCAACTTAATAAAGGCGTGGTTTTTTTCGGAGAGAAAACATCGCATTCGATACTGATATCGAAACTGCACTCCAATGCGATATTTTCTCTCTAAAAAAACCACGCCTTTATTACGTTGAATTTCTTTGTTAAAATTGGTAAGTGGGTGCTTCAGTCTCATGACAACAGAATTGCGATCTCAAAATTGGAGAAAAATGACGAGTAGCTGAAAAAATGGAACCAATCTATGCGATATATCGCATCGATTGGTCCCATTTCTTCAGCTTACCGTCATGTTTCTCATATTTTGAGA